CTCAAACTCCTGAGCTCAAGCAATCCTCCTGCCTCTGCCTCCCGAGTGCTAGGATTACAGGCGTGAGCCACCACGCCTGGCCTAGCACATTTATTTTTTTATGTCTAAAATGAGGAAGACACTTCAGTAGTGTATTTGTAGACATTAATTTTATTATTTTTCAGTATCTAATATAAATGTCCACTTAGATTGTTATAAAATATACTTTGTCTTTAGACACTTAAGTTTAGTATGATTAGATTTTTTCTTATCAGTAAAATTAAAGGCAGTCTTCCCATATCTAATAAAAACACTGTTGCACTCGGAAGGTAACGGTGTCTTCGTCTGTGGCCACACTTAGTGTCACAGTTTCCCTGGATTGAGAATGGTTGCCTGACTGTTCAGAATGTTACAGTCATTAAAAGAATACAGTTAGTTGGTATTCAATCCCCCATTGCTAAATTTGACTGGCTTAAAAAAAAATAATAAATAAAAGAATACAGCTAAACCTAAATCATTCAATATTAAAAGTATTGTAAACTGCTTGAAGAGACACTGTGGTGTGATTTATGCATTTTCTCTCTGTACATTACATTTCAATAAAAAGTTTTGTTTAAGTCACATGGGTTTTTTGTTTTGCTTTGTTTTGTTTTGTTTTTCAGACAGAGTCTCGCTCTGCTGCCCAGGATAGAGTGAGTGCCGTGGCGTCAGCCTAGCTCACAGCAACCTCAAACTCCTGGGCTTAAGCGATCCTCCCGCCTCAGCCTCCTGAGTAGCTGGGACTACAGGTGCTCGCCACCACGCCCAGCTAGTTTTTTCTCTTTTTAGTAGAAACGGGCTCTCGCTCTTGCTCAGGCTAGTCTTGAACTCCTGACCTCAAGCAATCTTCCCATCTCAGCCTCCCAGAGTGCTAGGATTACAGGCGTGAGCCACCTCGCCCCGCCTAAGTCAGTTTATGTAAGAGGTTAATACAGTTGCTTCTTATATAATCATGGCATCAAATAATGAAGCTTCCCATCTCCTTTCTGTAAAGGTCTGGAGCGTGTACATAAGATAGTCCCATTGCTGTGTAGTGCCACTGCGTTATAGGCTCACAGCCCAGTTACTTAATGTTAAAGGAATAATTACATAGCAGGTGAAATTCGTATCATGTTTTCATTCTCAGCTAACCAATATCTTTCTCATTGCTACCTGTTCTTGGCAACTTTTATATTCTTTATTATACTAAGCCAATGATTAAATGCACCTTTTTAATTTTTTCAGGTCCTCCTGGTTGGGGCTGAGAACTTCACGCTACTTGGCAAGCCACTCCTTGGGTAATGCACTGTTAAGTGCTGGGCTTTGTCTAGGGCCCCAGGGCCGAACATGCCTAAGGTGGACATGGCACAGTTAGGCCAGGTGGAGGGGGGCACATTTGTAATCACTGCCAACACTGAGCACAACGTTTATACCGAATCATAGTGGATATTTGGTGTCCCATGAGAAAGAACATCCAGACCAAGTTATTAGTCTGTTACTATTAATAATTCATTACAGTGTGACCCTTTTAGGATGTGCTCACAGACTCCACAGAACTGTTCTGTGTTATGCTTTTTTTTCACTTTGTCACCCAGGCTGTAGTGCAGTGGCATCATGAGAGCTGACTGCAACCTCAAACTCCTAGACCCAAGTGATCCTCCCACCTTGGCCTCCCCCAACTTGCTGGGACTACAGGCATGAGCCACCGCACTCAGCCTGGCATATTACTTTTATAGTCAGTGAAAAAGACAGTAAACCTTCATTTTAGAAACTCTCACCTTAGGCATTTGTAAAATTGAAAAATAAGAAGGAACATCATTGTTTATTTTCCTTCCTTCTAGAAAGGATCTTGTTCGAATAGAAGCCACAGTCATTGAAAGGACAGAATCATGGCCAAAAATCAATATGAAATTTAAGAGGAGGAAAAACTACAGGAAGAAAAAAAGTAAGTTAGAGAAAGTCCCACCGGCACCGTGCCCTGGGGTACAGGTGTGTCAGCTGCATGCAGGTCATCGGGCGGGGCACAGGTGGGGCTCGGGAGAGAGGGCCCGGGCAGGTCTCAGTGCAGCTGCCGCCGCTCACTGTCCACCCTCTCGTTCTGGAGGGGGCGCCTGATGGGGCCTGGCCTCACACTCTTTCTCCTCAACTGGCCACACGTGACCTGCTTTGTTCCAACTCGTGACACCTGCCACTGCCCCAGAGCAGCAGTTAATCCATGAGCAGATCCGGTACCGTCCTTACAGGAGCCTCCACTGAAGACAGTCCCCACGGTGGGGCGCCTCAAGGACGGGACCCCACAGGGCCACACACACAAGCGAACAGCTGCAGAATCCTTTGTCACAGCTTAGTTACAGCAGCACTTGCTGGCCTAAACTGCCAGTTGTGTGGTGTGATTAAATGTACCTGGAACAGCGACATTTGCTGTCACCTTAGAATCAGTTTGCTAGGGGAACATCTGCATCTTCTCACACTTCCAGGTAGCCTCAAGCTAGGTCAGGCGGGGCCATCCCACCCCACGCAGTCCAGAAGTCACAGTGTGGATGGTGGGGGGAAGAAAGGCGAGATGCCAGCACAGGGCACTCCTGGCCACGTGGCCTGTGGTGTTCCAGCCTCTGCAAGTGCTGACGGAGCCAGCGAGGCCATCAGCGCACACCGTGGAACAGACCTGGGTGTGTGGGACACGGGGCGTGGCCAAGGACCCGTGCCACCTGGGGGTGGCAGAGCCCCTCTCTGTAGCTGTGAGCAGTGCTCCGACTGTGGCAAGCCTGCAATGATGTCTTCTCTTTTCAGTCATTGTGACCCCGCAGACCGTCCTCCGGATAAACACCATTGAGATCGCCCCGGGTTTGTTGTGATCGCCGAGCTAGTATTTACAGAAATGTAAAAATAAATTCTTGTTTTCCAGGGATACTGAGTTTCTGCATTCTGATTTTTTTTTTTTTTTTTGAGACAGTCTCACTGTGTTGCCTGGGCTAGAGTGCTGTGGTGTCAGCCTAGCCCACAGCAACCTCAAACTCCTGGGCTCAAGCAATCCTCCTGCCTCAGCCTCCCGAGTAGCTGGGACTACAGGCGCGAGCCACCACGCCCAGCTAATTTTTTTATTTCTATTTTTAGTTGACATGCTAATTTTTTCTATTTTTAGTAGAGACGGGGGGTCTCGCTCTTGCTCAGGCTGGTCTAGAACTCCTGAGCTCAAAGGATCCTCCCACCTCAGCCTCTCAGAGTGCGGGGATTACAGGCGGGAGTCACCATGCCCGGATAATGTGGTTTTGTTAAGAGCAAAGTAACTTTGTCTAATTTAGAGGTTATCTAAAGATTATTTTAAATTGGAATAGAAAGAATGATAGATAAAACTGAATGGATATAGGAAGTTGGGGAAAGAAAGAGAATGAAAAACAATTTGGAAGAGGTTATAAAAGGTTTCTGGTTGGCAGTCCTCCTTGTCTCAATAATCGGATCTTTGTCCAATGGCAACTGCACTAAAACCCCGCTGGGGTTTCTGTAACAGAAGTAAAGGTTTTGTTGCCCCCAACCAGGTTCATTTGCCCGCTGCCCGAGAAGCAGCCAGTGCGCTGAGTCAGCAGGTTTTGTGGCAGCAAAAGTTTTTCCTCTGCATGGCGGGAAGAGGGAGGATGGGAGAAATTTCTCAAATCTGTCTCCCTGAGAATTTGGGAGACAGGGTTTGGTTTTTTTTTTTTTTTTTTTGAGACAGAGTCTCACTCTGTTGCCCTGGCTAGAGTGAGTGTCGTGGCGTCAGACTAGCTCACAGCAACCTCAAACTCCTGGGCTCAAGCGATCTGATTCCGCATATATGAGGTTCCCAGAGTCGTCAAATTCATAGAAACAGAAAGTAGAAGGATGCCAGGGGCTGGGAGAGGGGGAATGGGGAGTTA